TCATTCTTCTGGTGCTGATTGCCAACTCGGCGGTGAATCCAATCGTGTACGCCTTTCACAAGAAGGATTTCCGAAAAGAGCTGTGTAAGGTGTTGAAATTGCCAAACGTGTAAATGGTAACCAAAAAGAGAGAAAATTAGCTTGAGAAAACAGCCGACATTCCGCGACGTCACCACTGGTTTCCCGCCAAATGACGTCTGAGAAACGGGCGCAGAAATTCCATTCTGATGACGTGTCACTGCCCTGATCTGGGTTAGTAATCAGTTCTGATTGGTTGTGCCACGAGCGAAATTTGCTTGAACAAATTAGAGGCACTATCCAGATATGGGTAGAGACACGTCATCAGTATGGAATTTCTGTGCTCGTCCCTCAGACGTCATTTCGTAGGGACACCAGTGGTGGCCTCGCTTAAAGTCGGTTGTTTCTCAGGCTAAGAGAGGATAAGGGTACCCGATATTCTCAATATTTTACCAGTTATGTGGCGTGTAACCCTTTAGGCCCGGTTCAGACGTCGAACTTTTCATGAGCCGAAGCTAATTCGAATTAAGGCCGACACAAAGTATTTAGACGGGCTGAATTGATTCAGACGCCGATCTTAATTGCAGCCGAACTGAGTTCAAAAGGCGAAAAATGCTCATTTTAGTCGGGCAAACTGCTTACAAAATATGTTATAATAATTTATGCATTGGGTTCGGTTCATGAAAAGTTCGGCGTCTAAATCAAACCCGTTCCAAAGTCGCTCCAAAGGCGAAATCCCAGGCCGGGCTAGGCGAAAATAACAGCTGAGCCGTTCCAATTAATTGAAACAGGCGTTCCTTAATGATTCAGGCACCGAACTTTTCATGTATTTAATTCAATGTATTAGGTTCGGCTCGTGAAAAGTTCCAGTCAACAGGGCCTCAACTCTTGAATTGGCCAATGGCAATATTGAAGAAAGTACTTTTTCGAAGAGGTTTCACCGTTTTACTTTTCTTGGGATTACGTCCATAGATCCCAGCAAAAGTTAAAAGTTATTGCATTCTTCTCTATTATTATCGCTGCGAGTGAAAAGGTTAAATTTGCAAATTGCAGTTAGAAATAAAAAAGTGTATGTTAAAGAAATTACAGCGATGTAAGAATGACTTGTACGCCGTAGAGCCTGCATTAAAAAGCTCGTAGATTACATCCCATGGCACTCGTGCGCATGCGCACGCGTGTGTGTGTTCTCTTTCCTTTTAGTTGCGGTTCCCGTTTCATGGCGCGCCGCGTCTCTTGAGGCGCAGCCGTCCTCTACTCTGTCCAACACTTCTGTTGGAGGGACTAAAAGACTCTTCCCCTTCTACCCAGCGTGTGACTGTAGTTTGTGCTTTTGTGACGGTGTTTTTCTGATTTCCCGGGGGGCACTCTGATATGGTCGCAGAAAAATAGAATTAAACAAACTAAAGGAGACCAATTTATGCGTGGCTCATTATTTGACGGTAAAGTGGACCACACCAGTTCAGTCCTTCAAAGAAAACCATTATTATTTAACTCATTGTCAAAATGGCCGGCTCAAGCGGTTGGCCGGAAGGGTTAAATGCTCTAAGTTCCAGTCCTCGCTCCTATTTATTTACTTCCGCTACGGTCCGAACACCTGTTTACACAGCGACTAAGGGCCTGTTTACATGGTGATGGGGGACCCCACAGTGACGGATTCAGGAAAGGGGCCCGATAGGGGGGCGAGCCCCCCTCTTATTTTTAGACCAAATTGTGGCCCTAAGGGTCGAAAAAATTTTTTTTGAGACCGGGCCCCCCTTATCTCAGGGTCTGGATGACCCGCCCATCCCCCCCCCCTTCTTCCACTTATCTGAAAGTCTAGATCCGCCACTGCCCCCTGTAAGTGAGGTAACGCGCTTCTCCATATAATCTCTCATGTTAATTTGATCACGTTTACATGATAGGTAGGGTGACCCGCCACATGTTACCTCACCTATCTGGGGTCCCCCACCTCAATGTAAACAGGCCCTAAGAGTGGCAGAAACCTATCCGATATGTGACGATCCCGTAGCAGCTTCGCTTCGTTCTAGAAATCGCACTGTAATCAGCGTTCTTATGTGTGAACAAAAGCCTTATCCAACGGTTTTGGTGCCGGCTCATTTCTTTACGATATAGTGTGAACATATCACCCCACCAGCCTCCTCCTCAGGCGCTTTGTTTTTCCCAAGGTAGAGGAGCGACTGGTGATGAACCGCAAGGGACCATGGGAAGGGTACAGACGGCAGGCGTTGTCTCCTTCCCGCCTTCTTTTGCGCGCACATTTTCATCGAGAGAGAGAAGTCTGGGTACGAGGCAGTCAGCCCACACAAAGAGAAGTTTGAGTCTTATTTCTTTATTTCACTTTCATTATAGCTTGTATACATTAAATTGTAGATGGTCCTTAGTATTTCATGTTTCCCAAGTAATCTTTCTCAAAATAATCATACAAAACTGTTTCAAACTGGAATCGTAAGATATTCTTTAAATCGTAATATTCTCTGCAAAGATTTTAAAGCGAAGCGAAGTAACTAACAAATCCCAAAGAAAAAAATGTGGCGAGACTAAGTTCTGTCAAAGCTTCATGATAACAAACAGAACTGAGCTTTTCGTAACTTGAAAGCCATTGCCTTCCTCTGCTTTAGACCTGATATACACTATGCAAAAAAGTAAACAACGCCGATGCTAATATGTTAAGTAGGCGGGAATGAGAAAAAGCCAGCGAATTAACAATTTCGTGTAGTATCAGCATATTGTGATTTCAGAAAATTCAGGCAAACCATATTGTCTCGAATAAGTGCTGCATTTGAAGCGTGGAAATTTTAATAAGCGCCGCCGTGCTTATTTGAGTAAGTACGGTAATCCTCAGCTCATTGACCCTGAGTATCATAGATATCATAATCAAGTCTCCTCGCAACAAAAAAAAAACAAAAAAATAAAAATAAAAACGTATACATGGTCTGAAAACAAGTAATCAATACTTTGTAGGAATACAACAGACTAAGAAACCAGAATTAAGTGACGGTTCATAACAGCACTGATTAAACATGCGTCTCCACAAATCAAATTTCACGGGCCAAGCCAAATACAAGTTATTGACCACAATGAACCAGAAGAGACTAAACGCCATTACTGAATGATAAAACCGATTGGACATGCTTTCATTCTGGGCTGAGGATTGGATTGGGCCATTCCATTGTAGCCACACCCCTTCCTTGAGGTAAGTTGACTTTTAACCCTTAAGAAAAAAATTAAAAGTACTGACACTGTCCCACCCCTCAGAAATAGCCCATTTCTCTCAGACCCCTAAGAAATTTTCCAAAGATCAAAGGATGCCGACACAGCCACCCCTTCAGTAATAACTTTCAACGCCCCCTCGGAAAATCTCATCGATGAGGGGTGTGGATATTTAATGGAATGGCCCATAACTTGGGAGTTTTTTGAAATGTAGATAGCACAGTTTATGGTTTTCTAGTGAACATATTGTACACGGCAGTTTTAAAGCTAATGCGTTTTACTATCAAACAACAATAAATAGAAACAGCTGATGCAAAATAGGTGCTGCAATCACATACAAAACATACAAACTGCTTCAAAAATTTCCAATGCCAAATCAGGTAAAAAACTAATGACATTCTGTCAATCAACTACTATTCTTTTTATATGAATACACGTGAAATGTCTCATATATCACTATGATTGATTATCTTATGAAAACTACTATATAATATATATATATGGCCCATACAAAGATAACGTAGTAAAACTATTATTAATAAAAAAAGCATCCCTATTAAAATAGATTGATAGCCCTTTTAGAAAATCTCTCTGCAACCAAGGATACTACAGAACTGCTCTGAGCAGCTTAGAAGTACAGTGCTAGCATATTTCATTAATGAACTCCACTCTATCTTTTTTTAGTCTACAAAACTTTCACATCTATAAAACAAGAACTTTTTTTTGGACTATATACAGACCCAGTTGTACTGCAAAACATTTTTTTCAGGCTAAATTCTTACCTACTGTACATTATCTATCTCCATATCATCTAAATATTCATCAACACTACTAAATATCTTTTGCATCGACATGATTTAGATTCAATTTAACAGTTTCAGAATTAAAACAATTATTGACACTGTCATAAGTTAATTTTTCTATCGAATAACAAAATGCCTTCATTTGGTCAAAAAAAGCTATCTGTGCAAGCCAAAAGGAAGCTTTTTCATCTACTGTACTTCAAATATTTTCTTTCCCACCATTCACTTCAGTATCTGTACAAGTACTTTTCCTTTTTAGAATTCCTTAGCCCTTCAGACTAACCAACAACCAAGTGAAGAACTGTAAAAGCTGCCAAGATGGCGTCGAGGCTCAAAAATGCGAATTTTAATAATTTTGTGACACAGCTTTACCAATTTATTAACGTTTTTCTATCGCAATGTTTTCTTCAAAAACAGTAAACCTGACGAGACTTTGCCTCAGCTCATCATCTTGAGAGAATGTTGTGTTTGATTTACGGTCAATCTAATGCACTTTGATCACTGCATGAAAGAGAATATTTGAAGGCTGAAAAAAATCCCTGTAAAGTTATTTAAAACTAAGATGACAACTACGCGCTTGTCTCAGTTTTTTAAGCAATATGATTTCAATTTGTCAACGGAACTTTAAAAAGCTTTTTACAGCACATTAAGCTAATCAAAACTACAGAACCACATGATCTGTAGCTACAAAAATCCTGATTGACTGTTAATAACAATTAATCAATCAGCAGGAACAAATGCAAACGTTTGGTGAGTATCTACAATCATAATTATACTCACACTTTTCCAAGTCTGAAGTAACTTAAAACCAAAATGTTTACTTAGAGTTGGAACATAAAACTATAGACTTCCCGCTTGGAAAGTTTTACCCTTTAAGCCTAAGTGTTATAACAGCCTTATTCAATACAAATGGCCAGCCAAAAATATACAAGAGACTTTTGTAATAACAAGCCCCTTTGAGATACTGATCTTTCACTATTGGTAGCCAACACATACCAAAGTCAGACCCAAAGTTTTCAAAATTACAAAATTTCCTGATTCTAGTCACAAAATGGTTTGTAAAACTCTAAAAAAGAAACCCA